ACCTCCAAGTACGATATGGCGGGGAATTTTTTTTCTTCACTTTACATTCCTGAATTTTCGACGTTTGGAGAATTCGTTAATGCAAAAACAAAAGTTCTCACAACAGTTCTTTTCCACAATACACATATCAAGGGATTGAACTTTAACATAATTACAGTTTTTGTAATGCATATTTCCAGCTGGAGTAAATACATCTCTAAACCCGCCAAGGTTGCATAGATTTCCACTCAATGATAGAGACTAAGGGGGAGTAATAACATCTTCCTTCCGTTAACCCTGACTTTCATTCTCAGATCCATACCTCAATTGTTGATGAGGCATTCCTATTCACCAGCGGTGGTACTCTTATCGTTTGTAGTATCTGTTCCCTGCTCCTCCTCTTGGTTATTGACGATCCATACAGTCCTCAACAGCTGGAGTTATGTCCCTTCTTTAAAGATTACCGCTAATGATGTTTGCCTCACCTTGTCCCAATCACAGGACTGGATAAAAATCATACACATGGCTCCTATGTTTGCAAATTCAAGCACACTTTATAGAGCTTCACCTTATGATTTCCCACGAAATTAAAGCAGAGCTTGAATAGCTCATTTTTCCACTCGTTCACGCATCAGCTGTATACGATGACTGGGAAAACTGGATACCTAACAAACCAGACAAATTAAAATGTATGAAGGTAGAAAAGGAGCTTCAACACCGCCATCTCTTGGTGTTGTTTCTCTCGTGTCGGTTGTCTTTCCGTCCAATCCCGGGGTCCAATCACCCACTGCTTTTCTGGAAATAGTGCAACCTCCGCGGTGATAATGTACTCATTCAATAATAGAGATATCCTTTGGAAGAATTGCAGGTACCAAATTGCAGAGAAAAACTATTCTACTTAGATAACCCACCGTGAATGCACATGTATTTGGTATTATGCACATATCATCACGCACATTAAAGTAATGAACATCGTATCGATTTCATAAAGTACCATGTAGGCCTATATGTATTTACAAAAAAAAATCGAGGATAATTCCAGCAACTTGTTTTTGTTTAAAGGTAAAGACCAGTTATGGTCATGCGATTGCATTGTAAAAGAAACGTTGTGGAATCGATCAGAAAAGGTTGATCATCTAGCATCTAGCATCTGCAAGGTTCTGGAATCATCAAAATGATAAGAAATTTGGCCCATTCTGGTAACCCGACACATGCTCCGCCGACGATTGCTCCGCCGACATTTACTCCGCAAAACGCGACAATTGCTCCGCGACATTTGCTCCGCGACATTTGCTCCGACGTCAAATGCTCCGCCGACAGTTGCTCCGCCGACAGTTGCTCCGCCGACAGTTGCTCCGCCGACAGATGCTCCGCCGACAATTGCTCCGCCGACAATTGCTCCGCCGACAATTGCTCCGCCGACAATTGCTCCGCCGTCAATTGCTCCGCAAAACGCGACAATTGCTCCGCCGACATTTGCTCCGCCGACATTTGCTCCGCCTGAAGCGACACTTGCTCCGCCGACATTTGCTCCGCCGACAATTGCTCCGCCTGAAGCGACAATTGCTCCGCCTGAAGCGACAATTGCTCCGCCGACATTTGCTCCGCCGACATTTGCTCCACCGACATTTGCTCCGCCGACAATTGCTCTGCCGACAATTGCTCCGCCTGAAGCGACAATTGCTCCGCCGACATTTGCTCCGCCGACATTTGCTCCACCGACATTTGCTCCGCCGACAATTGCTCCGCCGACAATTGCTCCGCCTGAAGCGACAATTGCTCCGCTGACATTTGCTCCGACGACATTTGCTCCGCCCAAAAAGTGTCCCATAAACTACAAATGCTACTAGTACTACGACAAATGCTTCGCCGACAATATTTTCTTTACACCTATTTTTTTCGTTTCTTTTTTTCTTCTTCATTTTCTGAATGCATTTCTTGAAATAATGTACATGAAATGAAATGAATGAATGTTGATGAAGTGGGAGGAAAAAGGAGTTACCTAAAAGTCATTTCGAATATACTGAAATAACTTTCCATCTATCACTGTACGTCCCATATAATGTATACTAAACACTCATTACATGTCGTGGGAAGTTTTAAAAAAAAAAGTAGAGCAGCAAGCCACATATTCCCCAATACGCGCATACCTCCTAGTTAATTTCAAGTAGCTCATCAATATGTAATACCTGAAATTACCTCGATCAATGCATCTTACTAGGTAAAGCATTATACAATGTAATAGGTCATCATGGAAGTTTAGAAAATAAGTAAGGGGGATTTACCAAGTGTTGATCTTTTTAAGAGTTTTATAAAGAAACAAAAAGATATTGAATATTTCTCAGCGAAAAAAAGGAACAAGCTTGTTTCGCATTTTAAGGAATGGCGATTTGACTTATGATACTCATGTTGATTTAACTTTTATTCCTGTGCCCCCTCACTCCCCTTTATGCACTGGAGTTCAAACTATGATTTATATGTGTACAGTGTATTTTTTTTTACTATAATGTTTTTTTTTTATAACTTTCGTGTCCTTTCATTATTGTTAGTTGTTCTTATACATATTGGTTTTTTTGTTTGTCTAATTATTACCAATGACTTGTAAATATGTAATTTTTATATGATTGAAAATTTAATAAACACACAAATATAAAAAAAAAAGTTTAGAAAATAAGGGCACTTATATACGTAAGGAAGAGAACCCATTCAGACGGGAAAATGAGATGGCAGCCTTTCTGCTTATTCACATTTATACAAATCATTTTGTTGCAGTTTGATGTTAGTTCTTCATGATAAGCCAATTGCTCTTCTTCCGGTGGCTTCGTGAGTCCCTTAAATTATTTAGTGAAAACAAAGTACTCGAATGAAACGGAGTGTTTTGCACACTAACATATAAAGCTACATACACTTAACTAAAGGAAAGAAACCTTTAGAAAATGGACTGGATATTATTGAAAATATTATTCTAAACAAGAATGTACTACATGATTGTATTACTTTACGTTTCAATTTCACGAGAGAAATAGAACTCGAGAGGGGGAGCAGAGAAGAAGTGATGGAAATGAAAGAAGACTAATAGCATGAGAGGAAAGAAAAGAGCAAAGAAGACAAGAAAACGGTGTAAACAGGAAAAGGAGGAGCATGGGAGAGAGAGAAAGAGAGAGAGAGAGATAGCATTGAGCTTTGGATCAGCTAATGAGTAATACATGAAACAGATTTTGAGCGGAGTAATTATCTTTCGCCGGAGAACTTGCGTAAGGAGCTATAATTTTATTTTTTATTTTTTTAAATCAAACATTATGGGGAATAGCAAAAAACGGTTGTCTCTTTTGCTCTTTTCTTTCCTCTCATGTTATTAGTCTTCTTTCATTGAGGTAATTTCAGGTCTTACATATTGATGAGCTGTTTGAAATTAACTAGGAGGTATGCGCGTATTGGGGAATGTGGCTTGCTGCTCTACTTTAAAAAAAAAAAAAACTTCCCATGACATGTAATGAGTGTTTAGTGTACATTATGTGGGACGTACAGTGATAGATGGAAAGTTATTTCAGTATATTCGAAATGACTTTTAGGCAACTGCTTTTTCCTCCCACATTATCAACATTCATTCATTTCATTTCATTTACATAATTTCATGAAATGCATTCAGAAAATGAAGAAAAAAAGAAAGAAACAAAAACAACCCGTGAAAAAAAATATTGTCGGCGAAGCATTTGTCGTAGTACTAGTAGCATTTGTATTTAATGGGACACTTTTTGGGCGGAGCAAATGTCGTCGGAGCAAATGTCACCGGAGAAAGTGTCGCTTCATGCGGAGCAAATGTCGTCGGAGCAATTGTCGGCGGAGCAAATGTCACCGGAGCAATTGTCGACGGAGCAATTGTCGGCGGAGCAATTGTCGGCGGAGCAAATGTCGTCGGAGCAATTGTCGGCGGAGCAAATGTCACCGGAGCAATTGTCGCTTCAGGCGGAGCAATTGTCGGCGGAGCAATTGACGGCGGAGCAAATGTCGGCGGAGCAAATGTCGGCGGAGCAAATGTCGGCGGAGCAAGTGTCGCTTCAGGCGGAGCAAATGTCGGCGGAGCAAATGTCGGCGGAGCAATTGTCGCGTTTTGCGGAGCAATTGACGGCGGAGCAATTGTCGGCGGAGCAATTGTCGGAGGAGCAATTGTCGGCGGAGCATCTGTCGGCGGAGCAATTGTCGGCGGAGCAACTGTCGGCGGAGCAACTGTCGGCGGAGCACCTGTCGGCGGAGCATTTGACGTCGGAGCAAATGTCGCGGAGCAAATGTCGCGGAGCAATTGTCGCGTTTTGCGGAGTAAATGTCGGCGGAGCAATCGTCGGCGGAGCATGTGTCATGGAACCCCCATTCTTCGTAAAGTTACAAGCACTATACACAGAAAGATGTATATGGGACTACACTATATCTCTCACAGACCATGAGAGAAACAAATTTACCAAATATATGAATTAGTAGGCGGTTTCCGGCAAATTTTTTATTATCATGTATTAGTCAAAACATATTCTTTCACATGATTGGTAATGAGAGCTTCCATTTCATTTTTTGAAATTGGGGCGTTTCCAATACTGGTCTTTACCTTTAATTCCCTGCATTTAATATTTTTTCTCTTTAATATTAACACTTTATCCGCTTTCCTTATTTATACTTCAAGGTTCAAGGTATGTTTTTTTTCTTCTTTATTGTGTCAAGGTATTTATGTGGATGATATGTGACAATATCTACCCCTTACACTTACATTTTTGTCCACATAATATTCTATCCGTCAAACATCATAATACACTTCGTGCTATATCCATCGAGATGTTATTGTCTTTCAAATCTAGGCTCTCTCCTTTTTTATTATTACCAAGGCAACAAAAGTCACGCCACCCAATCTATTTTTAACCCCGTCGTCTATTCTTTATCTAATCGTCTTGGGAACAAGGTACCGTCTGACCCCTGCCCTGTGACCCGAGATGGCCTCAGCTGTTACCGGAGACGAGAAGCCAAGCCTCACTCCCAGGTCACCCATCAACCTCCATTCTGCTTCGTCGTAAACCAGCTGAGACTAGTACTGGAGCGAGAGATCGAGAGGATATGCACATATCGAGAAATCATTGTGGTACGAGCAGTTTCAGATATTGTCAGCGGGCTTCGAGGACTACATGCATCCAGTAAACAGCATTCGGAAGAATATATCAGTATTACAAGGTCTAATAATTCCGATTTACCACAAATCGATTGGTAATTTCCATAGATGGAACGCAAGTATTATATTTTTGTGAGATTGTCCTTATGCGTGCTTCCACGTAGCTTTGAAACAGCTGATGCCTCTCGAGACGACGATATAGGCTTTCGCACGTAATATACGTCGTTTGTGAAGTGAGTATTATACCAAGCAGCTGATTATCATATCGCAGTGTGGATACGTTTGTGTGTGTTGTTTGTGTATCGAGTCTGTTCGAACATATTTTATGCGCAAGGTTTGCATGGATATGTCTTTCATTATTGCTCCTTGACTAAACTTTCCTCCAGTAATGGGATGTACTGTTATGAAGTTATAATATACAACAATGACTTGTAATGTGTATATGATTGAAAATTTAATAAACACACAAATATAAACAAATATATATATATAAAATAAAAAAACTTATATGAGGTTCTTTCCGAATAGTTGTTTCTTATCAACCATTCCTCAAAAGTATAAAATATTGAAATTTAAATAGCTTTGTTACAGAATAAAAAACAAATCTGTCATTCCGTAACAAACGTACATGAAATTGAACATTTCACAAATGGGCTAATGAAGCGATTTTTTTTTTTTTTTTTAATTCAAAATGTCTTGTATAATATTCCTCATTCAAGGCGGAAAGCTCTCTGGAAATGCCATTCCGTACCGTTTGTAGTCGACCATTTTGGTCTTCTGGATTATGTTGTTGCAATGTTAACATGGTATCTACAACGTGTGTAATGTGCCATCTTTTTTTTTGCATTTCAATAAAAAATCTAACCACTCAGAATGCGTTTCCCTCCTCCTATTCCTCGCAAAGGAAGAAGAGGAACGGTCATCAATGACGACGAGCGAGTTATCGAGAAGATAACACTCGAAGTCCGCTTCGCGCTTAGAGGGAAACGCTACGACTCTTCATCGTGGTTAGGTGTGGGGACATTAGTGTGTCGTAAGAGAACGATACATACTATAGAAATGATCCCTAAAAGTATGATCTTAAATTTACTATATAATTTAGGAAATATATATAGAAGGATTAAACATCATTAAATATGGTTAGTAACTAATATTTTCCCGAGTATTACCGAATCGAGGGACGGTAAAAGATATTTATACTTTATTAAAGAGTTATAACTTATATCACAATAATAATTTAAGTTTTTTTTTTTTTTTAACTGGCCTGGATTTTCTTCTTAGTTGAGGGTAAAGGTGAAATCCTTGGTAGATGCTTGGAAGAGCTGGAATAGAACAGCTTTATGATGAATATTCATGATATATTGTTAGTCTTTGATACCAGACAGGAATTTTGTTTCTCTTTATCCATAAAGGATGTAAATTCTAAAACCAAACATACTTATGCATCGTTAAGTGGTCAAAGGTATTTGAAAATGTATAGATTACATAATTGTTTGCACTTGAAAAAAAGAAGTTATAATATACAATGTATGTTTGTTTTCTATCATGCAATTCAATGTCTCAAATGTACAACATACAAAATTGAAGTGACTAAATTATTCGTGTAAATATAAAAATTAAAAAAAATATTACTGCATATGAGAGTGTATACTTTCTGACAAATATAAATTGTTTCGGGAAAAGTAGGAAATTTAATTTGAAAAATAAAGGTACTATGTCCCATTCGCAGCCAACATCAAACTCTGTAGAACTTTGCAGGAATTATGAATATGTCGCGTAGGCCCATATGTTCTGTCTGTAAAACGTTAGCAGAGTCATATTATTCAAATTATGCAAGGAATCCCGTTTGCTTTCTAGAAAACACTGTCAGATATTATTGAGTGACTGACTGACTGACTTTTTTCTTTGGTAATAACATGAATTAAATGAGCTGTGAACTTGTGAAGGTACATGAGTATTTGTCTAGATCAATGACCCACTTCTTGTAATGGCCAAAATTAAACTGATTGAATCTTTGCGCAGCACATTACGTACGACCATTCGGTACAATGGTCTGAATATCAGACTATTACTAAAATGATTGCAATTACTACAACTACAGTCAATTCGACATCTAATATTCGTTATTTTCCCACTAAAAGACATTTTAAGCCCTTTTGTTTTGAGGAAAGTTCTAAAATAGTATTATCTTTTATTTTATTTTTTTTCTGGCCTGCAAATGGGACATTATGATACGAACGTATTTTTTTTTAATAGATTAATCATGTTTACCTCATGTTTCGTTCAGTGTCCTTTCTGTTAGTGCTATGTTTTGTCTACGTTTTGTTTTTTGGTGTGTGTTTTTTTTTCTCGTCCTTTTATTTTGGTAACATAATGTTCAGTAGATAAACCTTTGGAACCTCATCGTGAGCTTATTGGCTTGTACTGATTCTCTTCTCTTTATGTATTATTTTCATTTCAGAACAAGCGTGTAAGATCAGATTTTTGTAAATCTTAATCAAGTCTCGTGAAAATTGAAGAAAAAAAAAGATTGCACCTCGCATTTGGTGTTTTGTCTTTCATCGTGTCATTATCGACTAATATTATATATTTTTTTTTTTGGGGGGGGGGGGGGGGGGGGAGTCATTCTGTAGTTTTTGAAAAAAGAGTGATTATTTGTTTGTCATTTTGCCGCAGAATTTGAAAGAGAAGGCCCCAAAAAGAATGAAACTGAAATGAACCAGTAGGTCTTTATCTCTATGTATTCCTACTGCAGTTTGGAAACGCATTCTCAGAAGAAGAAGATATGCTAAATTACTTTCGAATTTTATTCCAATAAAATCCGAGTTCTTTTGTTAAGAAAAATGTGTACCCATAATTTGTTAACGAAGTCATACTGTTTTATGTAAGTTGACCCGAACTGACACAAACATAATTAAGTTTATGACAAATCGGATGAATGATGGAGGAAATAAAATATTGAATGTTGATATCACTCTTCATAATAACGTACACATGGGTAGCACATTTTTAGCACATATAATATCATATGTGTTATGTAGCTCCTACTTATATCATGGGTACATATACGGGTTTATTCACATGTCGTTTTTTAAAGCAAGTCCCTTCCAACATATGTAGAAAGGGACATGATTGCGAGTAATCTATAGCACATACGAATGGGCAGGCGCGTACGCAGGGGGGTGTTTGGGGGGTTAAACCCCCCTTTGGTATTTTTATGTGTATAAACCCCCCTAAAAAAAACCAAACCCCCCCCCCCCCTTTGGTTTTTTTTTTTTTGGCTGACCTAAAAAATTTCGAGAAAAAAAAAAAGTGTCCTCTTACCCCCCCCCCCCCCCCCCCCCCCCCCCCCCGGCTTATTCAGCGGCTGGCTGAGTCGATGCGAAATTTTCGGCCCGATTAAAAATGTTAACCCCCCCCCCCCTCCCCTTGAAAAAATCCTGCGTACACGCCTGCGAATGGGTATGGTTACTTCAATGTTAATATCACACATCGTGACCGAAATTATCAGTAAGTTAACAATCATGTATGATCTGATCTTTCACAGGTTCACCAGAACGTCCTTCTTCTTTGTTCATTCATCTCAAATCTGGGTTACTTTTCCCCTAATTTCCCTCAGGGTACCTTTATTCCGTATGGATGTAACTTATCAGCCACGGATGATAAAACATGAACTGTAACAGTTCACGATACGGGTTTGTGAGCCAGGATATATGAGCCTTCGCTATCTATCTGAGATTCATGAACAATGGATGGATGTATCGCAATGACATTTTCATTTTATCTAAGTCATCTGCCTACCCTTAGTACCCTCACTATGTAGGTCATGGTTGAAAGCTTTGTCACGTAGGCCATCGTGATTACCACTGTTGTGGTGATGCAGTGGCGGATCCAGCCGGCGGGAAGAGGGGGGGGGGGCCCAATCCGTGAGAAAATATTAGTTGCGACTCAGCCACCGGTGAATAAGCGGGGGGGGGGGGGGGGGGGGGGGGGGGGGGGGGGGTAGGAGGCACTTTTGTTGTCCAATTTTTCAGGAAATATTTTACCCCGACTCAGCCAGCCGGTAAATAAGCGCGGGGGGGGGGGAGAGCACCTTTCTTCTTTCCCTTTTTTGATCGAGTTTTGGAGGCCGGAAAAATTTAGCGCCGACTCAGCCGGTCAGTGAATCAATTATTATTATTTATTTATTATTTTTGGGGGGGCGCTTTTGTTTAGTGTTTATAAAAAGGTTAACTTTACGTTATTATCCTATTTTTTAAAATCGTTTTGGGGGGCTAGGGGGGCCGGGCCGGAAAAATCGCTACGTGGATCCGCCCCTGGGTGATGTGCAGTAGTTTTTGCAGCAAAAATACACAGTTAGAAACAGCAGAAATATACATACATAATAATAGTTTAATTTACATTCAAGGAAACACAAACCCAAACATACAATACATAGTTATGGGACAAAACATAGACTTCTTAAAAATAAGAATTACATACTTAGACGTGTTGGCCCGAATTCACAAAGGAGGTTTGTCCACAAACCGAGGTTTATGTACGGCATATGACGCGTTTTGACGCGTTTTTTACAAACCTGGTTTTGTCGAAACAAAAGGAGGTTTGTCGACAAAGCTCCTTCGTGAATTCGGGCCGTTGTGTTTTGCCTGCCAGTTGGTAAAGGTACAAACTTCCTAAGTCCTTTGATTATGAATATGAGTGATTCGCGTATTACCGTAATTCCGGAGCAAATAAAGGATTAAAACGTAGGATGTTTAGAATCATCCTCGAGAACATAATTGTTTGAATTTAATTAAACGACTTTCTTCTTCTCCTCCTCCTCCTCCTCCTCCTTCTTCTTCTTCTTCTTCTTCTTCTTCTTCTTCTCCTTTATTTCCAACATTTTTCTTCTTCTCCTTTCTCTCTTTCTGCCTTCTCTTCTATAATAATGTATCCTTTAACTGTAATTATTTTTCTTGAATCATTCTTTAGGTTCTGATGATCAAGCCGACGCAAATTGAATAATCACCAAACCAGTAACCTTTGATGAAAATAACCATGACTGAGCAATCGGACCGCCCTAAAGTCACCATGGATGTTGAATGTCAGTCACGCCTTGGATCGCATCGACACCGCATCTGTTGCCATGACAGCAAGAGAATCGTTCCCTGGATGCTCTTCTCCTCCTTCGTGACGCTTACCGTCGTTCTTCTGGTTCTGTTTTTGGTTTTCAAAGGTAAGTATTTATTATTTTTCAGCGCTGGTGTCAACAAAGATCAAGTTCTTTCAACCGTATGTCTATTGTTAATTTTAAATCTGTTTTATATTGCATTTAACTTGAAGATGAGAAAATATAACTTTTCTCTCAGCGTCATGCTTCCAAAATGTTAACTGCCACTTTTTGGTTCACGAATTATCAACCGGTGAATTTTTGTTTCCTCACTTTTTTCACTTGGGAATGGTCCCCAAAATAAAATAATAAATGGAAATTGGATTTTTAAAGCATTAATTGTTTTGTTTCACCACCTCTGTAATATAATATTTCAATCAAAACATAGACTCAATATCAAATTCAAAAATAAAAAAAAAACATTTGGCCATAATTCTATTTTTGAGTAAGTATTATTTCATCATTTAAAAAAAAAGTTTCATAGGATTTTTTCTCACTTCATGTCAGTATTTGCGTTGTTGTCTAATAATAAAGAAAAATAATTTTGTTGTTATTTTTCTTCTTCTTCTTCTTTCCTTCTTCTACCTCTTCTTCTTCTTCTTCTTCTTCCTCTTCTTCTACCCCTCTTTCCTCTTCTTGGTTTAATGGCGACTGTCTATTGATGTCTGTATGATTGAATGAGTGAGCGACGTATTCCTTCATGAAATGTTCATAATGTCAAGTCCACCCTTTGTAACATTTTCTATAAACACTTTAATTGTAACATATAAAAGACATTTATGCATTTACCCCGATGTAACCTCTCACTCTTAGAGACACATCTATTTTTGTTTCTGATTTCCCCCTTGATCTCTATCTCTTTTCTTCTTCTTCCTCTTCTTCGTCTTCTTCTTCAGATGACCGTCATATATATGCGAAGGAACCATCCATGGTTGAAGGTGAGACCTAGATTTTTGTTTTTCTGAACGGAAATCGGAAACCATTATAGGTATTTTATAGATCAAGACAATCGAAATCCAGAATAATAACATACTTCCTCTTCCAAGTTTATCCATCAAAACAACACCTTGATCCAAAACCGTCGATTTTCCCAGTGAAATTGTTATTGTTCTATCAATAAGCCGTGATATGAACTCCACTTTTTAGACCTAGTATCTGCATTTCTTTTACAAAGCTCTAGTCTGTGGTTTCCCTTTCTATTCTCTATTGCATGAAAGTGTTTCTTTGATATCACATGTTTACAAGTTTCACTCCACTTTATGTGATACGTGCAATCAGATGTTGATAAATATATAAATATATATAAAGCAATATTAACAATGTTTAATAAACACAGCCGCATAGACTGTTTAAAAATTATATCAACTAAAGGCGATTGCAATAGACTAGTCGGGCTGTTCATCACGTATTGAAATGTGCGAACATTGCAATGATTATCCGAACATAACATGATTTTTGTGGGATGTACAATAAGTTACCCCCCCCCCCCCCCCCCAAAAAAAAAAAAACTATTAAAAAACTACTACATTCCTTAAATGTCCTTGCGATCTTGCTCATATTACAAATAAGTAAGCCTTCACACAATAATAATAATAAAGTGAAGAAAACTCAAATTTGACAATTTACACGATTTTCTATGTGCGTGCCGGTTCGTGAAATGATCGACGAATTGTAACACAAAAGCTAATCAGTGCCAGAAAAGAGAGAGAGAGAGAGAGGGGGGGGGGGGGGTGAGAGGGTGAAAATAACGAGAGACAATTGGAAAGTCGATATACCCTTTTTTCTTCTTTTCATGCACCGTTTCAATATTTTAAAGCTGCATCAGACTCTGAGCTTGTATTGAATGCTATGTTGTGACCTTGGTTTGTGCCCGATCATGAACCGTACGAGTCACGTTTTAGGATCGAGGTACCCAATAAATCAAAAGATACCCAGTCTGATAGCAGTTGAGTTGTTCCCATGGCAACGGAAGTCGGAAGATAAGTTATGGTCTCCGATTGTCTCGTTGCAAGCTAGAGCCAAACTGAGCAGTGGGATAGCGTTATATTTAAAGGGCATCATAAACTAAGCGATCCGAATATAATTAGATCTTAAAGCCCGTCTGTGCTAGTTTGGCCAGTAGGGATTAGACCACAAAGCGTTTTCACTGACATTGTTTTTTATATAGAGGGAACAAGTAGCTTCAAGTAGTACAGTGGGACTTTAAGTGAATGTGCGCACGCGCATACTGGGCACGGGAAATAACGCCTCGTGTGCAGCGGGGCTAGCACGAAATGTGCTAACTCCCGTGGGGGATATACATTTTATATTCGAATCTTTTTAAGTCTGTAGTATTACTGATGATATTTTTTTTCTTTTAAAGAAGATGTGGAACAGCTCATTGGTACTTCCATTTCAAGACGAGATATTATTCTGGACCTCGGCAACATCTCAAACTTTTAAATTTCAAACTTGTCTACTACTCTACAGACACCTCGCCCAGTACTGAAACCAACGTCTCCTCGTCTATATGTGGCCGTCGTGGTGAGGTTCCACACCCTGGCATCGACACTCGGGTTTCGGGAGGGCGCCCTACTACCATTGAGGCGTGGCCGTGGATGGTTTCTTTGAGGGACGAGAGTGGTGACCACATCTGCGGTGCCACTCTGATCAGTGACCAATGGCTACTCACCGCTGGACACTGCGTGTAAGTGCACGCAGCCAATGATAATTTATGTAGACGAAGTCGTCATTTTGGGGGAAATCGCAGTCTACTCTCTTTAAAAAAAGAGTGAATTTTCACTCTATTTTCACTTTCTTGGGAGTGTCGTCCGTGATCACTTGTTTAGGAGTGAAAGTCGATTGATTTTAGAGTGCTCTCTATGAAGAAAGGAGTGAATGTTCACTCTATTTTCACTACATTTCCCTCTCCAGAGGAGTGACGTCCGTGATCACTCAATTTTTTTTAGAGAGTAGTCTATCGATCATGTCCACTAACCAGGATCGGAACAATCTTACTCTTTACCCGGGCAAATTTTAGAAAGGCATATTCAATTAGCCTTTTCGAGTGCTTCTCAATTCCTTGGGAAACTCCAATAATATGGATAAGGTTTTTTAGCGCCCCCTCCGGCCCCCTTCTGCCACACTCTGCCTGTCTTTGACCAACTTTTAATAATTTTTGTGCAGATGTCCTTAATATTCTAGGAATACAAAAGGCTTTGAAGGAACTACCAAAAGGCTTTTTATTCCAATATCTAGTTGCGCTATCAGATTATGTTCATATATTATATATCGCTCAAAGTCTGAGAGATATATTTATGTGTTAATGCCGACAAAACTGCGCTTTCTATCGGTAGTAAGCCTACGCAACAACATACAGTATATGATTAACAAAGATATGTATATCTGCTAGCGACTATTCACATTGGACTGAAGTGAACTGGCATAAATATAGCGTTGAAACCACTTCATGTAGGGTTTAGTGGATGGAATACCGCTATATCAAAGTGACAAAACATGTATTTATTTAGCTTTTTTTGTCTAGTCTTTTCTTTTCATTTCATTTAATTTCTTTCCAGTACTTTTTTGCGTGTGGGACAGTGGCGGATCCAGGGGGATCCGGGCCCCCTCCCCTAGGGAGAAAAAAAATGTGTAAAAACACACAAATTTTACCTTCTTTTGGAGATGGCCCCCCTCCCCAGCGCTCAAGTGGGGGGGGGGGGGTGCGATTTTTCACATTTTCGAGGGCCAAAACAAAATTAGAGCTCACTCCCCCCCCCCCCCCCCCCCCCCCCCCCCCCCCCATTGAGCGAATCGGCCGACTGTTTCGCCGCAAAATATTTTCTCACGAATTGAGGCCCCCTCCTAGTGCCGCCGGCTGGATCCGCCCCTGGTGTAGGATGCAATGACAAGGAGTGGTTACTTCAAACTAAATTAAGAAACAATCATATAAAGCTTAGAAGCGGGTTACCGTCATAGTTACTCCTACGTAGTTCACATTAATAGACCTATAAAAAGAAGAGCTAATTCCTACATAATACATTTCCATTATTTGTACCTCGTCCCCGATCTTCCTCTGCATCAACAGTTCCACCATCACCAGCCGCCCTCTGGGCTACGTCACAATGGGAGACACGTCTATCGCCGAATCTTCAGAATATCACGTGACCAGGGAAAGCTTGGAGACCTTCATCCATCCCGATTTCGACTCGTCCACCTTCGCCGATGATATCGCCCTCATTCGATTCGACCCACCGGTATTTCAAAGCAAGGGCGTGTCACCGGTTTGTTTGAATGAAGGCAGGAACGAGCTCGAGGATTACTCCAAGTGCTACGTCACTGGATGGGGAGCCACGTCCGTTTCGCGTGAGTTAAAGTTAGCACATTCCTGGTTATCTAAAACATGAAGAGAGAAGGGGTTAGAGAGAGAGGGAGAGACAAAGATAGAGAGAGAGAGAGAGAGAGAGAGAGAGAGAAAGAGAGAGGGAGGGAGAGAGAGAGAAACAAAAATGTAGAGAGAGAGAGAGAGAGAGAGACAGAACGAAAGAATATCCCTCCAGCTCTAATTTGTTGCTATTATTAAAATCAGTTTGATATTGTATAGGCCTAATGATTTAAAAGTGGAACAAGGCCAACTGTCCATTCATCAGAACCTAAAGATCAATAATTATTCATAATTACTCTTTCCGAATCGTGTCACAATGGAAAACTGTTCATATTCATTGACAACTGCAAAAAGAAGCAAAAATGAAGCAACTGCAAGAATACACTTAGCGCGGTTTTCCACTCAAGATCTAACGCTCTGCTTGCAGTTTTAATCGATTTTACATCATGTATTTGATTAGTTGCCTTTGCTTGTGTTTGAGCAAAATTTCTACTAATACGAATTATCTTCAAAGACTTTATGTTTCTTGGGTTTAAAAATTGCATATGAGTCATTAAAAAAGAAAATCTTACTTCAAATTCTTTCCTCAGTTATGGCATCGACAGGTTTGCAGGAAGGTCGAACGCCCCTGGTACCTCGTCAGAATTGCTCTGAGGACTACGGTACCCGACATCACGTGACGTCAGACATGATCTGTGCAATCTCTCCTGACTGGCAGGTCGACACCTGCAAGGTATGTGAATCTACACCACCCCCCCCCCCCCTCCCTCCCTCGGTCACTGGCATGGTGTGTGCCCCGGCCCTAAAACAATCGGTACAATGTGGTACAGCTTGCGATGGTTTCTTTATGTGCTTTTATTTTCTTAATGAATCATTGTTGAGAAATCTATTGTTTTAAAGTGACTTGATTTGGGAGAAATATGCAGAGGTTTGGGGGTTGTTTTTATATTTCTTGGTACAACTGATTTGGTGCGGATTGCCAAGGACAAGAGCAAGGACAAAATAGTAGAAATTTCATGATAAAACAATAGGAAACTGAATCAGGAAATTAAACAAGTTATCGCAATTACTTGTCAAAGTCTAAAATAATTTTGTTCCAGTAACTTTTTTTTTTTTTATCTTTCAGGGTGACAGTGGTGGTCCCTTGGTGTGTCAAGACAGTATCAGCGATGTCTGGTCTATGATTGGAGTGACAAGCTTTGGTTACGGCTGCTGGAATCCAGGCGATCCTGCCCCAGGGGTCTACTCTCGTGTCTCCAGCTACTTCGACGACTTCATCATGAAAACCGTCGACGATGAATCCCGCAGATGACGACGTTATCGACATGCCATCGCGTTGTCCGCGAAAACGGGTTGAATGGGGTTTACGAAGAAAGCCAGGAATTTTGGATGTTTTAATCCATTCGCTTAACGTGCATACCAAAGATATTGGGATATAGCATCTCAAGCTTACCAAAAAGAAGGCTAATTTGATTTTTTTTTTCTCTTATTTTGTTGGTAAAAAAAACAGTATTTTTCTTCAAACGAAGATGCAAAAAATGATAGTATTGAAATTAACTATTGCATTAATTGAAGTTAAACTTCACTATTTTCTTCCGCACTTCGATTTTCATTTATATGACCAGCAGCCTTCTTGTCCATACCTTTTTTTTACGAGATGATATGAAATGATGATAATATGAATTGAGGTATGATTTAGTAAGATGAATTTACAAAGTACTTTTTTAAGATAGATACAATTTTAGATACGATTAATTACCGTATCATGATGTTGATACTACAAACAATTGTATGATTAATTGCATGATAGTGTGGCCAAGCATCATTTTTCAAAAGCAGAAAGTATTGCAAAGGATTGGATTAGATTAAATTTGAAGAAATCATAGAAACTTATTCGTTTTCCTTAAAAGTGTGCTGTGTCAATTCTTTTGCTCAATTGATAATCGGAATTTTTCTGATGGTTTGAGCGTTCAATGATTGTTGCGTCGAAATAGAGACTGATTTTTCTCTTCCTCTGAGATTTGAGTATTAGAAATGTCCGTGTCAGTAATGATAATTCTTGAAACTGGTCATCGTAGTAAGCTGTGGAAGTGTTTTAATTTGGTACTTTAATCACATTCCTGAGTAAGACCTTCGTTTTAATTAATAACAGTGCAAGATTAAAATTTTGTTTTTGTATGAGAGAAGTACTAGCTTATAAAATGAAACTGCGATTGAATGAATTGCTTGCACAAAGAACAGCAAGTTTAACAGAAATCGGTTTTCGTTTTTTCCTTCTTCTTTTTGTATGTAGCACGAGGTATTATGTTTTAATTTACTATCTAAACTAAACATTGCCAGTTCTTGCCAGCTCTATTTGTTACGTGCCAACCCTTGCATTATTTTGATTCATATATTTTAAAAGGTTTCGTGTACCAAAATGGGGAAGCCAATGTGTATTTCGCTATGCAGTATAGTATCCAGTTCATTTTTATATGTGAAAGGGCGATTTTGTTTTAGTATTAAAGTTGATACACTCATCACCAATACTCAATATTATGTGTTATTTTAAAGGAATGGAATTTGCATGTTATAATTGTGTGCTAAACGGCTTAGAGGAGAACCTTTTTATCAATGGAGAACGCGCATCTCTTTTAAATCGAGGAAAATCATGAGATAGATTTATTGCGTTGGTCGTGGCAAAAAGCTGTTTGGATTTGAACCTATGCTGATGATAATTCACAATAAAGAGCCACATGTGTATAGATATCTCATAAATGATGGACAGTATTATTGATGACGACTTTGACAGAGCTGTACCTACTGTAGGGTAGCTACAGGGGACGTGTGGGCACGTGCCCTCAAACGAAAAACAGGGGGGAAAAGTTGGGAAAATATGCGAGACCGAAAAAAAATGAAGATAGAATGAAAAGGGGCGTGAATTAATGGGGAGATGACGGTCCCCCTCCCAGGCGCGGATCCAGGATTTCTTAGGGGAGGGGGCCCAACTTCTTTTTTTTTTTGCTCCCGAAAATTTGAAAATCGCGCCGGCCGAAAATTCGCTCAGTGGGGGGGGGGGGGGTAGTGAGCACATTTTTTTTTTTTTGATCCTCAAAAAAATTTCAATTTGCACCCCCCCCCTTGAGCGCCAGGGGGGGGGGCCCAACCCCCAAAAAAGGTAAAAATCACGTGATTTTACATGATTTTTTTCTCAAGGGGGGGCCCGGGCCCCCCGGGCCCCCCCCCTGGATCCGCCACTGCCCCCTCCCGCACTCCTCCTTAAAGGGAAATCCAGAGAAGTTGATTGATAAAAGTTTGAATGAAATCAGACGAAAAATGATAAATGTATTAATATTTTCAAAGTTGTAATCACTATTGGCTGAATCGGTAATGTATCTGTGATGTAATGGCGGACAACTTACCCATTTGTTCCATAACACACAATTACTAAAAATGTATAAGAATATATGCCTCAGGAAGGTCCTTTCTCTTTGAAGGATTTATGATAATATGCCATCCATTTTGAGTAGTGCCCCAAGATGGAAGGCGCTTAGGGGAAAAACACAAATTAATGATATTTTTGTACAAGACAAACCGGAAGAGTTATCTGCGACTGCGTCACAGTCCACTGACCGAACTGCCAATTTGATATTCGCATAGACTTAGTGATCTCATATTTGAAACATTCATAATTTTCTTATCATTAGTCCGATATATTTCAAACTGTCGCCACTTTGTTTATCTTAATTTTCTGCTTTCATACAAATAAACTTATTACAAGGGCCTCGTAAATTAACATGAAAAGCCTGACAATAATTTCCTTTTCAAGTTTTATTGGTTGGGGATGTAAAACGAGGGGCATATGGTTCTGCCTTAGTGTTCGGTACGCCGATGAGACTATAGAGAAGCAATAAGTTTGCAGTTCGAATGCCCGGTTCGAATGCTTTGACTTTTTTTAATGAAATTTGTAAGGCTGATTTTGTAAAGCGCTTGTTATTCATCAATAATGATTTTGATACCGATTTTCGTGTATGGATACCACTTTGTAATTCAAACGTATGAAATGTTTAAAACATTTACTATATGAGAAGACATGCAGCTAGTATAATCATTTACTCATTACATGTATCTGTTCTCTTTTTTATTAAAAGATACGATATTTTTGTATGTAATACGATGTATGTAATACGATGTATTTTTGATCACTTTTATTCTGAATCCCAGGATGAAAAAGATAAATCTAAAGATTTGACTGTTGTATGAGTATTATATGCACTGACCGTTAAGCCTCGGTCACAAATGCCATTACGAACTGCTACGAACGCCGTACGAACGATTTTCAGACAATGGAAATTCGGGAAGACAATGGAAAAGCAGGGAGATTCGTATGAAATTATCGTTCGTACGAACCTTTGTGACCGCAGCATTACTCTGTGTTGGTGTAAATACATGTTCGTTTAGATCTGTATGCCTTATCTTTACCCACTTTATCTGATATATCTGTTATCTATAATCATAACGCGTTGTTTATGTGCACTATTTTGACGATTATTAATGAGAACTTAGAAAGGTTACGTGGTATCACTTTTGAATTGCATGTCTTCCTATTATATCGCATTTTGAAATACGTATTATACTGGTTATGATTAAAATTTTACTGAAATAAAATCAGTTTCGTTATCAAAACCCTATCTTCGTGTTGTCATTATAAACACAAATTATCAGCAGCAGATGCCGTTTACATTAGTCGGTCTCGGCAGAGCATCAGTAAAGACAGTCAAAGTTGTCTTGGTGGCCTCCCCTCTATATAAAGGTCACCTATATGTGCATGGGTGTCGATCCCGGGGGGGGGGGGGAGATGGGGGATATATCCCCCCCCCAATGTTTTAGGTGGGGGGTGGCCTGTACAATCACCCCCCCCCCAAATAGTTCACCATCAAAAAAAAAAATTAATGATGAGAGCCCGATGAGAGAAGTTAATGATTATTACTCGCAAGATGACCATCAATATACACATTTTGCTATATCATTTTCATAATACATACAAATGAGACAACCGTATATGGGGGGGGGGGGGGGGGGGGAGAGGGGGGAACTGAATTGAGACAAGGGCACGATACAACGAATCGTCTTCCTTCTCTAATAATTTAATAAAACGGTAAAGCTTCCGCGCTTCGCGCGAGATGGGCGAAAATGAATACAAACAAGGATTAAGAGTAATAACTTATTGAACCGTCAAAGCTTCCGCGCGGAAGGGCGGGGGTGGGGGGGGGGGGGGGGGGTTGCACTAAGACAAGGACACGATACAACGAATCGTCTTTTTTCTCTAAAAAAATAATGAAACGTGAAAGCTTCCGCGCTTCGCGCGAGATGGGCAAAAATGAGTTCAGACAAGGATTAATGTGACGGGCGAAAATAAATTCATACAAGGATTAAGAGTAAAATTTATTTGAAACGTCAAAGCTTAACCCTCTTCGCGCGGGAGTGGGGGGGGGGGAGGGAACTGAATTCAGAGTCGAGAACGGTACAACGGATCGTCTTCTTTCCATAGTAATTTAATGAAACGTCAAAGCTTCCGCGCTTTGCGCAGGAGGGGTGGGGAAACTGAATTCAGACAAGGATTAAGAGTCGAGAATGGTACATCGAATCGTCTTCTTTCTTTAATAATCTAATGAAACGTCAGAGTTTCCGCGCTACGCGCGGAGGAAGGGGAACTTAGTTTAAACATTAAGGATTAAGAGTCGAGAATGGTACATCGAATCGTCTTCTTCATTTAATAAGCTAATGAAACGTCAGAGCTGCCTCGCTACGCGCGGAGGAAGGGGAACTTGATTCAAACAAGGATTAAGAGTCGAGAACGTTCCAACGAATCGTCTTCTTTTTCTAATAATTTAATGAAGCGTCAAAGCTTCTGCGCTTCGCGGGGAATGGGGAAACTCCTCTCTCTCCCTGCACCCAACCCCCTAGGGAGCGCGCTTTGCATTCTCACTACCCCCCCCCCAAAATGAAATCCTGGCTACGCGCTTGGGGATGGGGTGCAACCTGCCACACGTTTCTACTTCTTGGTTGCTTTGATCCATTGCCGAACATATTTTGGCACCTTATTTTGGCATCATCCCCCCAACCACGGACACAAATCGACACCCTTGTGTATGTGTATTGTATAATGCATTTTGTCTCCTTCAAGAAGTGTGTTAGAACCTGCCTAGAAAGGCCACCTCTCCACGGAGACCATTTACTCCATTCCTCCTGAGTGACCTCAATATAGAGGGTTTGACTGTTAAATGAAAAAAAAATTAAACTTAATTATTCACAAATTTGGTCATCGTATCTAAGGGATAATGGTTAGCTTGTAGATATACTTGAGTGCGCGTTACAAACATTGTTTGAGCTACACCCAGGCGCCAAATGAAGCATCCGTTTACTTCAACGAGGTGCACATTGGCACATTCAGGCGCGCCGGAAGCAGTTTGGGATTGGGGGGGCAAACATTCCAGGGGGCTCACTTTCCAGGGGCAGTGACGTAATGAGAAAAAAAAAGTTCGGAAGTGGGGGGGGGGGGGCAGACGAAAAATATGCATCACCACCAGTCTTACACGTTACATGCAGGTCCCACGGAACGTTTTTCAAAGTGGAGTATTATCGATCAGGTAGAGCGTACATTGACGTGGGGTCCAGGGCATAGGCCTCGGCAGGGAGTCAAGGGGCTGAGCCCCCGGAAGCTCGGGGGTTTTAGGTATTTAATTACGGTCAGATGAGCATCCACGGGCCCGCCTTAGGGCCCTTGGTGGGGTTCCAGGGGGCAGAGCTTCCGGAAGCTCAGGGGTTTTAGGTATTAAATAACGGTCAGATGAGCATCTAGGGGCCCGCCTTAGAGCCCTTGTTGGGGTCCAGGGGGCAGAGCCCCTGACGCTCGGGGGTTTTAGGTATTTAATTACGGTCAGATGAGCATCCAGGGGCCCGCCTTAGGTCCCTTGGTGGGGTCCGGGAGTGGAGGCCCCGTAAGCTCTGGGGTTTTAAGCATTTAATTACGGTCAGATGAGCATTTTTTATACCTTATTTGTGACATTGGCAGGTCACTTATTTTTTTTCCGTCTTTCTTTCTTTTTCTCTTTAACATACTTTTTAAAAAAAGGAGGGGGGGGGGGGGCTCGAGCCAAGCCACTTTGCAGACCATGACATAAAGGCTTCTAAATAAGCGTATTTCGCCTGACAGTAATGTGGGAATTTCTTATTTTCCAACAAACGCATAAAAAGGTATGACTTACAAAAAAAAATGGAGAAAAAAATGCCGGAAAATCATGTCACAACATCAAAATTTCTAAATCACTTGTTTCGAATAAGAAATACATTACCCCCCCCCCCCCATCAGTACGCCAGCGTTCAGGGGCTCATGTCTTCTCACCCCTACAACAAAAACACGGACACGCTTTCCCATTCTCGCACAATATGTCCACGATATGCGCGTATCGCTATTATAGAGACCTCCATTTAAAATACCGTATAGGTGGCATGCGCAATGTTTATGAAATTTAATTCCTGTGAACTTTCCTTTTTCTTTGAATGGAATTGTATATCTGATTTAATTCAGGTTTTTATTATTGTTTCGTTCTTTTGGATTAAAAATACAAACCATGTTTACTCCTTTACTGTTTTTTTTTTTTTTTTTGGAGGGGGGGGGGGCGTTTTGGGGGGGCAAAAATGCGTTTTGCCCCCCCACTTTTTTGATTGGGGGGGCAACTGCCCCCCTGCCCCCCCCCCACTTCCGGCGCCTATGGGCACATTAGTGCCTTGTCAAAGCCAAGGAGGGATTCAAAATGAATGTAGCGATGCCACCACATATTTAGCCCCATCTCCTAGCTCCTGTAGCTTAGGCTCTCTCTCTCTCACTGCCTCCTTTCTATCACTCTCTCTC